TGCATTTGAAAGATATTCATTTATTTATACCACCTTTCGCTTGGCGGTTAGAGTTTAAATGCAAATAATCCGTGTTTTGCCGCAAAGGCTTGGAATTTTGTTTCCAAATTTCTAAAAAGTTCTCGAATTTTTTTTCACTGCAAGAAATTTAAGTAGGTAATAAGTGTATTTTTCTTGCCAAATTTTCCATAAGTTTTCACTAACCGAATTTAAGTGCGCTAAAATCAGAAGAATTTAACCTAGCCAATTAGGACAATTATTATTTATTGAAAAAGATAAAGCAGAAAAGAGAAGAAGCAAAAAAAGGAATAGGCCTCAGGCTAAGCCGAGAAAGGTGCTGCTGATCCAATACTAACGATGATTATTTATAAGCGCGGTATTAATGTTTATATATTGCGAATACAAACGACTACGCACGCGTGCCGCGGTAGTCCATTGACACACTGGCTTGCTTTCAATCTACTGTGTGCCCAATATAAAATCTTATACACAGCAAGTAGCAATAATTGCAGTTTCACCATCACCAAGCCTATTTCCATTTTTTGCCGTCTAGCTGAAGAAGCATTTAGTTTGTATTTAACAAGTTTTTAATGCAATAAAGTTTCCTAAATAGATAACAGCGTATGCAAAACTACTTCATTGTACCGTGCCGCGTTTGACCTTGACAAATTACTTTCTTTTCAAGATTGTTCAACAAATATTTCTTGTGTATTGTCTTCGTACAGCGAGGTAAACAAATTTGACATCGATTTTAAATTTTACAATATATAGGTGCCTATATATTACATATTATAAACATATTAATATTTATTATGTATACTAAGTGAGAATCAGTCCGTTTAACGAGCAGAAGATGAGAACATACTATTTTCAGGATTTTGTGAAATAAATTGGATAGCGGTCTTTTTGTCTTTTCGTATATCAGAGTTATTACCAGATAGTGTTAAAATAAAAATTGGTGGCAAAACACATAGAAAGTTCTATTTACCTACAGTATGCTCCCGCGCCAAAAATATATAGAATTAGGTATATTCTTTTACACTAGTAAAAATAAGAGAATTTTGCAACCCTAGCACCACGAAAGTAAGTTTTAGTTACCTACCGGTTTGCTGTGTATCAATATAGCTACGAAAGTAGAAATTTCGGGCTTGGATAGAAAAGTGAAAATTTGAACAACCTAAAAAATTTATAGGAAATATAAATATATTTAATTGTTGTAGGTTTGCGCCCTTAACAGTTGAATGAAGTAGGAAGTGTTGTGGGCTTAGGGCAAAAAAAAAAAATCAAAGTCCCTTTTAAATTTCAAAATATGCCGACGTTTCAACTTTATTTTAAGTCTTTTTTGAGGCTGAAAATAACAAGAAAAGAATAGTTATTTTCTCTATGGAGAGACTAGACAATTATTAATTAATTTAGTTTTGCCCATTGATTTAAAGTTGCTGGAAACATAAAAATACATTGAGAAACCATTAATAACAGTTTTCTTGGCACATACATGTGTAGACAATAAGTTAGATATATAAGACTAGAAATACATAATAGTGATATCAAATATAAATTATTAGAAAAAAAAAATATTAAAAATATTGAATTATACACTACACACAAGCGAAACAAAAACAAATACCAATGGAACAAAGTATTACTTAAATATACGAATAAATAAATGTGGGGCAACATACCTATTTTTAATAATTTCGAAAAAGGGGCTCTGGTCAAATAGAGTGAAAGCACCAAGCACATAATATAAAAGTTTTGAGCAATTGAGCTAGAGAACATGAAACCTCAACATTTGTATGTATTTGAATATACATTATTAAATATTGAGGAAAACAAAAAGTTTCATGTTCTCTAGCTCAATTGCCCAAAAGTTTTACATTATTTGCTTGGTGCTTTTACTCTATTTGACCAGAGCCCCTTTTTCGAAATAATTAAAAATAGGTATGCTGCCTCACATTTATTTATTTGTATGTTTATATTTTTAATATTTTTTTTTCTGATAATTTATATTTGATGTCACTATTATGTATTTTTACTCTTATACAGTGTCCCCCATAATGTTATTTGCTACATATGGGTAAATTTTGTATTTGTAGGATATGGATTTTTTTTTTATATGCGATCGATTCTGCATGTTCGATAACCTAAAAGTACATTTTGACATTGGACACGTGATCACTGTTGTTGCGCAAATTCGAAAATTTAGATATGGAAACGCGAAAAGTGGGGTTAGATGGCAAAATTTTGAAAAAAGTTATTTGGAAAAAGTGATTAGAACGATGTTTTAGGGCTGTCTGCGAAATTTGGAAAAAAAAATAACAAAAAACAGGAAATTACTTGTTTTTAGCCATGAATCTCTTGTCAAATCTTATTATACAATTTTTATTATTGAAATAGTCTAAGTACCTGAATATTTATTGTGTATTGGTAAAACAAATTTAAATTCTTCATTGGAATGATTCCTAGAGAATTAAATAAAAATATTCGACTAGCACATGAAACTTTTCTGTAGCAATACCCTGTATCTTGACAATTTCCGAGATTTCCAATAACTTAATATTGATACAACAATTGAGAAGATTCGTTATTGAGATTTTTTATTAAATATTTCAATGCAGTTCTAAAACACCTTACTTAACTGTCCAGACACAGGGTAGGTATTGCTACAGAAAAGTTTCATGTGCTAGTCAATACTTTGTATTTAATTCTCTAGGAATGATTCCAATGAAGAATTTAAGTTTGTTTTATCAAAACACATTAAATATTGAAGTACATGGACTATTTCAATAATAAAAACTGTATAATATTTGATCAATGGCGAAAAACAAGCAATTTCCGGTTTTTTATTGTTTTTCCTTGAAATTTCGCAGGCAGCCCTAAAACATCGTTCTAATCACTGTTTTCAAATAACTTTTTCAGAAATTTTGCCATCTAACTCCACTTTTCGCGTTTTCATATCTAAGTTTTCGAATTTGCCGCCTCAACAGTGATCACGTGACCACTGTCAAAATGTACTTTTAAGTTATCGGACATGCAGGATCGATCGCACATAAGAAAAATTTTCATATCCTACAAATAAAAAATTTCCCACATTATGGGGGACACTATACATATCTAAGTTATTGTCTACACATTTATGTGCTAAGAAAACTGTTATTGGAGGATTCTCAATGTATTTTTATCTTTCCAAAAACTTTAAATTTTCTAGTCTCTCCATAGAGAAAATAACTATTATTTTCTTGTCATTTTCAGCCTTGAAAAAGACTTTAAATAAAGTCGAAACGTCGGCATTTTTCAAAATTTATAAGGAACTTTGATTTTTTTTTTTTTGCCCTAAGCCCACATCACTTCCTACTTCATAAATATATTATTTGTTTAACAGAAAGTTCAAGAACTTAATATTATCGATTGACTGAGCCGTAACTTGATAGAAATCAATGATAAATTTTAAAATAATAAATTCCGGAAAAATTGTGAAAATTATTTAAAAAAAATCATTTTAAAATTCAAGGTCAGCAATTGTGAGCCTTATTTGTCTTAAGTATAGCCGATTTATCTAATCTCTCGCCTTTATATCCGATTTCCGAATTTTCCTTCTCGATTTATTGCTATAATTCTTAAAAAAATTGATTCATTAAATATAAATAATTATTTTCAAATTTGGCGCGTTTCATACGTTTTTAGTAGTTCGAATTTAAGAATCAAGTTAATCAACATTTTTCATAGAAAACTAATGTCTTCTATATAAAATTGATAACTCCGTGATTTAATATTATCTTAGCTTTTAACTGTGTGTAGATTCCTGTTTATTAAATTGAAATAAGTTCATTTTTGAGTGCGACGTTTTGACTGTCTAATTAGGTCGTTATCAGACTGAAGACTAACCGAGTCTCACAATAAATTATCCTTGAACAAAATAAAGAGACGAAAAAATCGTTCCTGATAAAAAAATACAATCAAAGAATTTAGACTAATTTTCACTCGTTTTTTTTTTATAATTTTATTTGTTTGTAACGATAAAAATATGCCTTGAGTCTGATCATGACCTAATAGAACGGTCCGGACGTCACTCCAAAATAAATGGACTTTTTTTTTATAGGCCATGATGGTCTATCTCCGGACCCCAAAAAAAGTCTAATTTCTTGGTTTAAATTTTCAGAGAAGCTCTAATCATTATTTTAATGTAACAAAAAATGCTCTGGAAGTCAATTTTTGATTTTTGAGGTCACATATTTCTGATATTTTCACCTTTAGAGTTTGAATGACAATGACCCCAAGATTTATTGGATGGAAGGAAAGGCCTCTGTAGCCAGAATAGGATATCAGTTTTTCCTTTAATAAAATTAGGCGTTCTTATTGATACTTTTTTCTGTCAAAATCCAAAATCGACCCATCCGAACGTTTTCGGTATTATATTTTCCGTCAACCAATGACACGTATTTCTCAAAATTAGTACCTCATTTTAACAGAAACATTAGACAATTCCTGATATGTATGAAAACAAGAAAAATGGAGAACTTGAGTAGCTCATCCTTGGTCATCGAATAGTGGACCCTAATCCACCTGAAGATATTTTCGTAGTTTATAAATGAAACTATTATTATCTTAACCCATAACAAATCCGAAACTATTTTATTGATAATAATTAAAAGACATAATAAAAAAATATATTTTTTTACCGATCATTAAACTTTTTTGTATTTATTCAATTTATTGTTCCAAAATTATTAATTTTCGCTCTAATTGAATAGAATCATTTTGAACAATTATATTATAAAAAATAATGTAACTGTTACAATTATTAGGTACTTCAGTTTAGTATATCAACAGTGCACAAAACCGGTAGCAAAATTTTAAAACAGCTAGTTATGTGATGTACATAACTGACCGGTCTAGGACGATAATGGGAAAAAATAATACTAGGTATTTACCGGCGAAATTATATTTAAATGTGTGTCACTTCGATTGTAATTTAAAAAATTTCATAACTAAAAGCTTACCTTGAAATAATCCAACTGTATGGTAAAAAATAGTCCAAGTTGAAATAGGGCACACGAACTAATAAAATCCAAATTGGCACTACACTCGGTTCCGATCGCACATTACGTTTGCACCCAGACACGAATTTTCGACACACTAGCTTTGAGCATCAGTTAAAAGAAAAGTAATACACTTTAATATGTTTCGTTGGTTTTATATATCGACGTGAAAGTTTGCCCCACTACGTACTGTAAAGCTCCTCAGAAGCACGGCTTTTATATGAAGAAGCCTATACCTGTGCCCGGATGAAACTCAACACTTTGGTGAAGAAATTCAGGATTTTGACGCATCGCCATCACTTTCTTTTGCCTTGGTTTGTTGCACAATTGGTTCCGACTTGTCACCCCAATTTACACTTTCGATCGTCATCGGTCATTCCGGTACGTTACGTCATTTTGCCAAATAATGTTTGTGTACTTATTTATATTGAACCGGATTATTGCAAATTGAAAACCAATGTCACTCTCAAACTATTCCAACAGTAAGTGACACAGTTATCACAATTTTATAGGTCACCATTAGAAAAATTTCAAATTAATTTGTTTTACGGAAGAACATCATTTCGTGTAACGTTTATGATAGGTACCTGTCCTAATTATTATTGATCCTTTTTTCTAAAGGGCCTCCGATAATCCCAGAGACCATTGATAGTTTTATAGAATTTCATTATGGTTGCGTAACAAGTCAGCGATCGAAAGAAGGTAGAAAGCATATAAACTGTCAATTTGCCCCCCCCCCCAAAAAAAAAGCAAACAACTATTATTGTCAAAGCTATCCAAGTAAACAGTTTTACTGTTGAAAATAGTAACACTGCTGTTATAAGAGACATATTTTTCAATCAGGTATCACAATATATATTTCAAATGTGGAGAGAAGCAACATAACAGTTTTCATCATCAACCAAAAGACTATCTAAAGTCAGAGGCCCTTTCCAATTGATGGAATCAATATTCGAATAGGCACTACTTTCAGTTATCCATTGATAATTGCGCTGTTGCTGAATTAGTTAAATGACGCACCATATTCTTAAAACAAGTTTTGTAATGAAATTAAACATAGTCTCAAAAAGCCTCACAATTTGATATTGTCTGTGTTACTTACCTCTACTTATTCATGATTCACTCACACGAACATCGCTTCATAAGAAAGCGATCGGTTTCATTAAAGCATATAAAAAACCAGCAGCTCAATGTTCCTAAAACGTTTCTGGAGAAGAATACTGATCGCCCCATTTCAACGATCAAAGCTTCGCTAGCTCTTACAGAGCTCTGTACACGGTTCTTTTAAAACGGCGGTAGTAATGTCTGGATTCAGTAGGTAGCGTCTATTGCCTCCTGCAGATCTTATTCCTGCTTCCATTCGTGTCAATTTGTTACTGATTAAGCCGTGAACGAAATGAATGAATTGTACGAACTGTCTAAGTTTTATAGGGGCATATTGGTCCACAGAGGACCGTTAGATGAGCTATGGAGTCACCATCCTTATTGTCGTCGATTATGCGCTTTCTAATGGTTATAGAAACCAATTCTGGAGCCGCACACTCTTTCACAGTCTTAGCACACCCAGCCTCTGACAGCATTGTCTCTTCCTCTGTTCTTACGCTCCTTCTTGCGGTCCCTCTACTCCCTTTTTTCAGTCTCGCATCTGCGTCGTTGTTTTCTAAAAGTTTGTGGTCCGTCGTGGACTACTTGACGCCGTGAGGGCCTATCATTTGCCATCGTCTCCTAGTTGCTGGTACCTAATCTACAGTCTATCATATTCTTCCTAAGAATATCCTTGTAGCGTTTTTGTTGACCTCCTTCATTTAGATTTCCTGTTGTCAGTTGACTGTAGAGAATCTCTCGCGGAAGATGTGTTTCGGGCATGCGGGCGAAATGACCTGTCCAAAGTCCGTGCTTAATCAAATCAAATTAAATCGAAATATATTTTATTGTAAAAAGAGAAAAATGTCTTGTCTGCAAAGCAGTTATAGCAAATTTATCTAATTTATAAGAACAGAGAAAAATACGACAATAAAATAACAAAAATTAAAATTAATTTAAATTTAAAGAAATATATGAACTGGCTGTACTGTAACAAATTAAAAATTAATGGTGATAAGACAAAATATATACTATTCAAGCAAAAAAATAAAATAACGGAAAACATATCTATTCAAATAAACAAAGGCGATTTCGGCAAGCTTTGGTTGGTATACCGTTTGGTTAACCAATTGGTACCTGCAACGTCAAAGAAATGACGTAATCTTATTTTATTCCGAATTCGTTTGGTAAGTCATGAGAAAGGGGAAGAGACGAGCCTTAATTTAACTTTTTGTAGTTTTTCTAGTTTTTAGAGTAACTAGGTATTGACTGCACTGACTCAAATCTATAATCACTAATCAGCACTGCCTAGACAGTACCTTTGAGTAACCTATTGGCTAATTCAGCGTTTTCTGTAAATTTAAAGCTTATTCCATAATCCATTCAGCAAAAAAGTTACCCCATACAGTGCCGGATTTACCAATTTGCCGCCCTACGCCTGTTTTAGGCGCGTAGCCAGAAAATTCAGATGAGGTCGGGGTTTCGCTATTGAAACTAAAAAACATTGCATGACCATAAGGATAACAGGAAAAAAAATTTGTAGAATTTCAAGGTCAATGCTTTATATGGAAAGAATAACATTTTGAGGGTAAAAAAGTATATGCTAAAATATAGGTTTCGTGTTTCGTGTTTTTTAATTATATTTTCTGATCAAGTGGGGGGGGGGGTTTAACTCCTTAAACCTACCCCGTGGCTACGTCCCTGGCCTGTTTAGAAAGGCCGCCCTCATGTTGGCACGAGCGGCGCGTGCCTCAAAAAACGGGGGGGCCAAGAAGATACAGGATACAGGACTAGGACACGGACAGTGGCGTACCCATAGCCAGGCTTTTGGGGGCGGACGGGGCAAACTTAACAGGGACGCCAGGATTAAACGAAAATCATTTTGGGTGCCACGCCCAAAAACGTTTATTTTGAGGCTTTTTTCATTTTTTTTTTCCTGTAGTACCTACCTACATTTTATTACCTAAACTTGGTATACATTATTTTGATCTGGGTGTGTTTTTTTGTTCGATACATTTTTTTCATGTGCACTTTTTATTTTTAAAACCGACGTTTACAGGCTCTATAATTTTTTTGATAGGTATCTATTTTTTGTGCTTTGTTATTTTTTGTATTTTTTATAATATTATTCGAATATATCAAAAATCAAATAAAGGTCCAACGCGAAACAGAACCGCGTTTCGCGTTGGATCTTCGGCTTTCTTTTCCCGATTATTTTTTGTCTTTTTCTGATTTCTTTTTTAAATTTTGCCGCCCCCCCAGATTTGCCGCTATACGCCTTTGCGTACTGTGCGTATAGGGAAATACGGCACTGACCCCATATCTGTCGTTCAAAGCTATTTTTCAAATGATCGTTAAACATTATTTGGCAGTCAAAACATACGAGAAAACTGTAAGATCAAGGCAAAAAAACAAACATATTTGTTAAAAATATCAAATTATTCAAATTCTAATGAACTTTCATTTATTTACATTTCCCAGAGCAGGACAAAACGAAAATAGACGTAGATAGCACTATACCAAATGAGAAGAACCGTGCTGCTGACCACGGTATCCTATTTGACAGACCAAAAAGGATACCAAAGTCACGGTGACGACATCATTTTCGTATCCGAAATTGGTTGGTATGCATTTGACAGACCAAACAGGGTACCAAACCATGTACCAAAGCTTGCCGAATTCGCCTAATGTTTCTATTGAACAGGTTACCCATATCAAATATCTTGATTTGGTTGTAGATGATAAACTTACTTGGTCAATGCATATAAACTACATGCGCGAAAAAATTCTTCCACCAATACCTGCATTATTTAAGCACCGACACTATCTCACAAAAAAATCTAAATATAATGTTTACAATGCTTTCGTTCTGCCTCACTTACGATATCTTATTCCCGTGTGGGGATCTAGTGCCCAGTGTCATATTACTGAGATCATGACATTGCAAAATACTGTTGTGAAAATTTTATTTTTGACAGACTCACAAATTCGGCTATATTATATGAAGAGCTAAACATAAGTCCGATAATTAAAATATATGAATTCGAGCAGGATAAACTTATGCATAAAATATTAAAACAAAGTCAGAAGAGCAATATTAATATTATTTTATCGAATGATGTACACCATTATAATACCAGAACCAACTGTGATATTTACCAAATTGTAACTAAAACTAATATAGGTCTCAATAATTCAATAGTCCGAGCTTCCAAATCTTATAATAAGGTACCTGGAGAAATTGAAAATGTAAGAAATTTCAATATATTTGTAAAAAAGCTTAAGCAACACTTAGACATAAGGTAAACAAAAACTGAGATTATTTTCTCAAGACCAGTGCTTACAGGCACTGTTTAGAGAAATTGTATTATTGTTATTGTAATGAATGATTTAAGAAATAAACGATTTTCAAAAAAAAAACACCCGTAAGAATAGGTACAACTAATAAAACTGAAAACAAAAATACAAATAAAAACAGAACATTAAAATAAAATAAAAATACCATAAAAATACTTCAATCAACAACAACTGTAAACCTGGTTACAAACAATCATCATAATACTCCTCTAGGCTGTAATAAGATCTTGCCATCAAAACACTCTTCACATTTTTCCTGAACCGCGAGTATGGCAATTGTCTATAATCGGTGCCCAAATGATTATAAATTTCATTCCACGAGACGAGATAGTAGAGGTAAACAAACAGGCGGAGCGCAAGGACTGCAAAAATATGAATTACAACCAATGACATTTATTATTGTCAGGTTGTCATATGAGTCAATAAATTTTGGTGTCGTATTTCCTAGTATTCTACAATTATTTAAATAGTGTTTGGTGAATTATTGTTATAAGTGAGCAATTCAGATTAAAACAATATCAAGTTCAACAGATTCCGCTGAAGAATTCGTTCCTATAAAAGGCGGTCTAAACGAGGCAGGGCTTTTAGTACCTAGTTCAGAAAAAGAAATGATTTCTGTAAGGAAAATTAAAATTAAAATATACCTTTACAGTTAAATTTGTTTCCCTTTTCGTTTTGTTTCAAAGCTTTTATGTTTGGATACCTACAACGCCAGCCAAAAAATTCCGAGAATAGAAATACAAA